GGTGTGAAGTGAGGTTACCACTGTTCTTAAAGCTCTTTCCACACTCTGTACATTTATATGATTTCTCTCCTGTGTGCAGGCTTTTATGCGAAGTGAGGGAACTGTCTTCATTGAAGCTCTTTCCGCCCTCGGTGCATTTATATGGTTTCTCTCCTGAGTGGAGTCTTTTATGGGAAATAAGGGAACTACTTTCTTTAAAGCTCTTTCCAGACGCTGTGCACTGATATAGTTTATCTTCTGTGTGAAGCTTCTTATGGGCTGTCAATTGACCAATCTTTTTGAAACTCTTTTCACACTTGGTACACTTATGTGGTCTTTCTCCTGTATGGATCAATTTATGGGAAATCAGATAACTGGGATCACTGAACTCTTTTCCACACTGAATATTCTTATAGGTTTTCTCTCCAGTGTAGATTTCGTGACATAAAGTAGGAGGGAAAAATTGATTGAAAAATGTTTCATCTTTTGTCTGTTCATTTTGGTTGTGTCTAGTCTCAGTTTCAAACTGATTATATAAATCTAACTTATCCTTAGTCTTATGCAGTAGACAGTTCCCAGTTCTATTTTCTGTGTGATCATCTTGTGTTAACACCTCAGGGACATCAACATACTTAAAGAGGTTTTCTTTGTGTATTTTTGTTTGCCAGTGACTTTGAAATATCTCTTTTGTGATTTCATGCTTAATAGTTTCTGATGTCACCATCTGTGGGTCTGGATAATTGTCATTTTCTGACTTATTTCCAGCTAAGGAGAAAGGAAGAAAGTGAGACTGAGTGAGAGAAATATACTATATTAGATCTTTAACATGATACCTGGGCATGCATTGAGGAATAACTCTCATTAACTAATGAGTTAGTTCTAATGCGAATGAATTTGCTTCTCCAAGATTACCTCTCTCTCTGTATACTTTATTGAAACTTTAATTACACTTTTTCTTACATTCCTGTCAGAATTCATTTCTTTGAGAGTTTTTTCCACTGTGTTAATGAGATTCAGATTATTACTTTTCCTTCTTAGGAAACAAAGATTAAAATTAAATAACAAGAAACATCTGCCAGCTACTCTGTTTTATTCTTTATTTAGATGTTCTCAAATCAAGACCTCCTAGGGGTGGGAAAGAATTCCTGCATTACAACTTTTCCAGCCAAAGCAAAAAGTGAACATCCATTCTCTGATTAAAAGCTGCCCTCCACACTTCTGGCCAGGTAGCATTATGAAATGGCAGTCAACCAAACTCCAGTTCAGAAAGGCAACCTCCTTCTAGTGATGGAATATCCTCATGTCCCTCCCTGAAGGAAGTGATTTTATATTTTGAGAAAGACTCCAAAAGAGCTGGTTTCTCTATAGAGGTGGTGCCACAACAAACCTTCTCTACCTTTGCCCAAGCTCCAGGAATGTGTGGGTATATAACTGACAGAAAGCAGACAACCGTCATCAGAGATGAGATGAACTTTTATCATTTTGGTGACAAAACTGACATCTGAAAAGAGGATTCTTATAAAATGTAGGGAGACCTACATTTCTTTTTATTATCAAGGTCTAGGACCTATAAAAATAAACTTGGGGGACCACATGCAGTTCTGAGTCCACAAGCTGCCCTCCCTCTTTTTTAGTCAATGGATCGGTCTAATCACAATGACATTGTCACAAATGAAAAACTCATCCAAGAGATCCTCAAATGCAGAACATGAAATGGTTTTAGCAGGGATTTGCTATTTATTTATCCTTCTTGGATCTCCAGAAGAACAGATCTTTTTCCCTCCAGAAGGTAAGCTCTAGTTTGGCTGCTTCATGGAAGAAACAGATAAGACCGTTACTTCTAAGTATGAAATATCTTTTTCGGCTGTTTGAATTCAGAGCAGAAGCAGACCAAATAAAAACAAGAAAATTCCAGGTACATGTCTGGGAAGAGGGCAAGGGAACTTTTTATAATTTGGGTCTTGGCAATACTGTCAATCACTCAAATGGTGCTCATTGACCTCAAGGAAAAAAGGAAGGACAATTTTAGAACCATCCTGGGACTTTCCAGAATTGTTAAAAACTTGAGCAGAGAACTTACTCAGAGAAGTCAGGTTTTTAGAATTCTCCCACATGACTTCTCCATGGAGAGCCCTTTGGGTGGAATCCAGCACAGCCCATTCATCCTCTGAGAAATACACTGCCACCTCCTGGAAGGATATAGGACCCTGAAAAAAGAAAATGTTCATCATTACTAGATAAGCTCCTGAACATTTTTCACACTTTCAAGGCCTGAAGCCTTTCCTGGGTAGTGTAAATCTTGTCAAGCCCTCAGAGTGTTGTTGATGCCAAAAGTCACCATCATTGATTAAAGAAAAGGAAATGGATTTTTAGCCAAATCAAGGTTATCAAAAGAAGCTATTATCCACAGTTTTTCACTGCCTTAGTATCTGAAATCATGGAAATGCGTTTTTCTCCCATTCCCAAGCCTTCTAGGTCCTGAGATAATTTTTGTTCCTCAACCATCACAGAGGAACTAAGGATTTCTGGCTCTGGCTCCGAGGAAGTGGGGGAAACAGCTTCTTGGGGGATCTTTCCTTTCTGAGAGATCAAATAAAAAGGCTTTTTCACAGGTTTGTGTTTTTTTAATCACCAAAATCAGAAATAGACACAAAGCCCTAGAAACGTGGACTGGGCTTTGTATTTCTCTTCAGTGGCTAGAGGGAAACTATTATTTTACACAAGGAAAATTTTCAAATGAAAAAGTGAATTGTAAATTAGTTCAGAAATTAATCTTAGAATAGAATAGAATAACAGAGTTGGAAGAGACCTTGGAGGTTTTCTAGTCCAACCCCCTGCTCAGATAGGAAACCTATGCATTTCAAATAGTTGTCCAATCTCTTCTTAAAACTTCCAGTGTTGGAGCATTCGCAACATAGGAGGCAAGTTGTTCCACTGATTTAATTGTTCTAACTTTATAATATAATCTTTATAATATAACCATTTTCTATTTTAACTGTTTTCTACAAGCTCTTTTTCAATCCCATATTCTTTAAAGTCCAAATTCACTGTATCTGTATATATGAAGGCAGGATAAGAAGCTACGGATGGAAACTAATCAAGGAGAGAAGCAACCTAGAACTAAGGAGAAACTTCCTGACAGTTAGAACAATTAACCAGTGGAGCAACCTGCCTCCAGAAGTGGTGAATGCTCCAACACTGGAAGTCTTTAAGAAGAGTTTGGACAGCCATTTGTCTGAAATGGTATAGGGTTTCCTGCCTGAGCAGGGGGTTGGACCAGATGACCTCCAAGGTCCCTTCCAACTTATTATTATTGTTGTTGTTGTTGTTGTTGTTGTTGTTATTATTTATTTATTTTATTTTATTTATTTTATTCAATTTGTATCCCGCCCTTCTCCCGAAGGACTCAGGGCGGCTCACAACATTTTTAAAAAACAAAGACAAACCCACACACCCCACCGAATAAAACCAAATTAAAACCAATATTTTAGTGTTGTGGTAATTAAAATTTCTAAGAAACCCAATTTAAAAATCCTCCCTAGGCCAGGCCCGCTTGTTGGAAAAGC